CCTTCCTACGGGGCAGGCCGAAATCCCTGCCTTCCTACGGGGCAGGCCGAAATCCCTGCCTTCCTACGGGGCAGGCCGAAATCCCTGCCTTCCTATGGGGCAAGAGGAGGTAACAGCCAAGCTAAAATCACAGCTGACAAATCCAGATCTGTTCATTTCTAACTAACTAGTGAGGCTTTTTAACATAATGATTTTATTGCTTCTTGCACTCGGGCTGTACAAGCTCCACACCGCTGCTTTATTGAATTCTGTGAGACTTCAGTGAACGTATGTAAGTAGAGGGTAGGTCTGCCAGGAAGAAAATCCAATTTCTAAAACCAATTAAGGCCCAGAGTAAAATAAACAAACAAACACCCCTTAAAATTTAGGTTCAGATAACAGAAATTAAACACTCCCACCATCTGAACAAAGAACAGAAAGATAAGGTTAGACTTATACAGGGCATATGGCATGCATAAAGCTCTGACATGATTAAAAAAGGGAGAAAAAATAAACATCTTTACATAGAAGAATATGTTCCAGTCATCTCTGCATTATGCTTCTATTAAACAATTAAAACTATTAAGCTCTAGTGTTACATTATCAAAGTAATGGAAAGATGAGCTCCTCTATGGAAAGCCACTTAAACATATGCTGGGATGTGCATTTATTTTCGACACAGCACATTAACTGCCGATTGTAAAGTATCACCACGCTGGTATTAGAGCTAATTCATGTGAAAATCTGCCTGAATGCAAGAGAAACCTGGAGATCTCTTCACTGTTCAAAAACAATGAGAAAATTAAGACGGGGATTAAAGGACAGGCGGTTGATTTTCCCCACCAGTGAAGTGTGACTACCTGCAAAAGGAGCAAAACAAGGAACCCCTGGGAAATTTTCTAGATAATTCATAGCGCTCGTGAGGCTTTTGAAGTCTCCTGTTGCAGAGACTTGGAAAAGGCCAAACTTCACCTAAATAACTAAATATACTTTTATTTCCTGCATATATATATATAATATATAGTGCATATAAATGGTCTGTTTTTATATACATATACATACATATATATATATGTAGCATATCTAGTAAGTATATGTAGTTTTTCTGTTCAACTGTTCAATTCTTTAAAAGGCTGTTTCCAAAAGCAATGACTTTTGCTACACATAACATTTTCTCACCAATCTGCTGCTTTTGCTGCTTGAATCTACACTATTCCATTTTCCCCTTCAGAACTGCTTGATATTTTAAAAGAAAATTAAAAATGATGAATAAACATTTTGTGCCATGCTATAAATAGGAGAAATATTTAATATACCAGCTGGTTTGCCATGAAAATTAAATCATGGAACATACTGCGGCCATGAGTCTTTCCTTCATCTTCCCACACAACAATTTTCTCCCCTATCCATCCTCTTAACAGTGCACAAAAATAGGCATATGTGCTGACATCTAATGCAAAGAGCTCATTATTTTTAGCTAGCTGAGCTCAAATAAGCTGTTCTTGATGGTGCCTTGTGTGAGGCAACTTAATTTTACTACTACAGCATAATTAAGTGCTGAACCAATAACTTGCAGCAACAATGCCAGGCAAAGGGCTGTGTTAGCAAGCTGCATAACGAGGCTTATCAGTGTAATTGTTTGCATATAAAATAGTTGCAAGGGTAGCTCAGCACTGTGCAAAACAGATAAGGCTGGAAAGTTTCAGACTTCACCTATATAGATGCTTTGAAAAGCAAATTCCCTACCCCTTAGTTGGCATTTATAAACAGCTCTATTTTAGTTGTACAGACTTTTTTTTTTTTCCCCAATTATTAAATTGAGTTATTTCTGATTCTCACCACAAACACGAGTGGACAAGCAGGCTGACTTTCTTCTCACTTGAAGTTAAGGAATCATGAAGTCTCAGGAAAAAAAAGGCTGAGAAGAACATTAAGCAGCTCTCTGCGCTCCAAAGACAATGACAACTATATATTTAATGGTTAAAAGAAAAGTTATTTTTCAAAGGAGTAGCCTCAGCCTCATTCCAGCTGCCTTTGAAAATGATTAATATTTTAAAAATTTATTTAACAGTCAGAAATGCCTGTTAATAGGACGAGCTGAACACACAATGTGAAATACAGTCTTGTTCAAATTGGAGACTTCTCTCAGAGAGTCCAGGCCAGGGTTTCACTTCAAGAGATCAGCCAGACTAACCTCATGCAACTTGACTCATTAAATCTTTGAGCTGAATGTTTGAAAATCCAAATAATCTCTGCACAGAAAAATGCAAACTATGAACCTACAGATTTTATGTGGGTGGAGCTCTCCATTCCTGGCAGCTGCATTTCCCCAGGGGAAGGATACTGCTAGTGGCATTTTATGAACAGGCCTTACAGTATTTTCCAGACTGTGCCTTTTATATCGTGATAGAGCCACTTCAATAATTCATTAAAGAATTCATTACTATCACTTCATCTGGTGCACAATAAATGTCTGGACAGTTACAAATATGTTGTTTATTCATCCTCCAGATTTTACCCTAAATAAGGCATTAAATAGCATTTTTAAGCATATATTTATATATTCACAAACTCACAGAGCCATAATGTGAGCAGCTGTTTCAGCATCCGTGTCTGTAGCTTATCATGCTGTTTTGATCAGCCTTCACACATGGTGTCAACCATCATTATTATGTTATACAGAAAAATGAGAGGAGAAGGGAAGCAAAGCTCTTCCTAATACATCTTTATGCTTTCCCTGACCTTCTGCCTGATGGTGAGAAATAAACTGTTATGTCCTTGCAGTTATTTATGTGCAAGGGATCCCATCAAAATACTGCATCAGGCAGAATAGGAGTTCTGCTAAATGTAGGGAAATACTCTTTAAGATATAGTGATTATAGCCACAAAATCCAGGTAAGCACAACAGAAATACGTTTATTACATACTATAGTAGATTCTCACATTGAAGTAACTTTCATTTATAACTAAATTTAAATTTTATTAAATTTAAATATTACCTAAATTTATTGTTGAGGTGCAATTAAGCCTTTCTGCCAAATTGCCAAAGAGCAGGCCAGTCAGGCACAAAAATCATTACAGGTAATCAGTCTCCTAGTTAGCTCAGTGTATAACATCTGTGATCTACTCAGTGTGTCAAGAGATGTGTAACATACAGTACGTATTTTAGAGGAAATATTTGTAGTCCTTTCTCCTTCTACCATGCACGAAGCATAGCTTCAAATGAATACAGTTCCTGTGCTCTCCTGAAGCATTAAATAATAATGAATGCAACTCTGAAAAATGAAGAATGAGGAAATAAAGACAGAGTAAATAAAGACATGGAAATTACCAGAATTCATAAAAATACTGAATGCCAACAAATGAAGCTTTTTGAAAATAAAACGTAGGCACATAAATCAAGGGTATTTAGCACATTTATATCCTATAAACCACTTGGGTATTGATCATGCTAGAGTTACAAGGGTTGCTACCTATATATGTTACTCTTAGTTTGATAAAGATTTTACAAGACCTTCACTTTGTTAGGCAAGAAATCATGCACTGTGAAAGTCATGACTTCAGCTTTTGTATTTTTATGCTTTAATATAATGGTGGCAAAGTCAGTAAAACTTGTATTTTATTCTTGTGTTGCTCCTATAATGTTATAAAATGATTATTAAGTAGAGAACCAGGTCCTGCAAGGTGCCAGACCCCCTTGGAGATCTGCAGTGCTCCAAGACTGATTGCTTCGGATTTCTTCTGAGCCTCATTCCATCCCAGGATCCTTCTAACCCAAGAAAACCACATCTTCAAACAGAGGAGGTATAGTCTTTATAATAATCATAATGACATCATAATGTCATTACTTTCTGTGGTAAAAATCCTCTATATTATCATAGACCTTAATTTGCAGCTTTAAAATTTGTTGTGTCACACACCAGTATATTCTGATGGCTAAAGACATAAATTTAGAATGACTAAATCCCTTTAACAATGCCTTAGAGGACACCTGATTAAGGAAGTAGAGTTATGCCTTGGTGGAGCAACAAGCAAATGAAATCAGAACTTTTCACTAAGATAGTGCCCAATAGTAGTTTAGTGAAAATTACTATTTGCAGATGTAAATTAAAAAAAAAAAAAAAGCACAGAAGCAAAGGAAATACATTATCCAAAAGAAATTTTTTTTTTATGCTTTGTCCAGTACCTAAATTCAAAGTCTTCCAAGATCATTTTGTTGATATTAAAAAAATAAATTTTCTATTTTGAAAAGGACATTTTTCCTTTTCTTATGCAGGCTTGTACCTTCATACATAACTAATAGCCATGCCCTGAACTTCAAAGTAATTAAGTATGATCATGCTCAAATTGCCTGCTACAAAAACCAGCCATGCAGAAAGTAGTAATGAGTTTTCTGCATTATTTGGAAATTTACTCTAGCTCTATAGATATTTAAACAAGATATGAAGCATTTGATATTAAAAATCAACATAGTTTAAAAAACAGTCTTCCTTAAGTTGCTGTTCCTCCTTTACACTAATGAATAGGACAATATAATTCATTTGTGATATATATTTATTTATTTATTATGGAAACACATGCCTTACATCTAGATGAAGTGTTGGCTAAAAGAAGTGAACCTAGGAGTATAGACAGCAAAGTTCTCACGCATTATGATGGTTTAAGTACTATTTCTACTTTCAAAAACTGTAGTCTCAAGGTGTAGCTTATTGCAATGAATGAAACTATTTTCTGAATTATGTCTTTGATTATTTAGGAAAAAAAAAAAAAAGAAAAGGAATTCTAGCAGAATAAATAAAAGAATTTCCCAGCAGAATTCTTCTGCTAGGAAAGTTAATGGATGAGAGTTTTCACATAGGGTGCTCTGCACTAATGGAGATTTGAGCTGAAGTGAAAGAGCGTTTGAGGGTGACAGGGGCTTGAGGGTGGTAGCTATGGGCACTGTCACTGCTGCCTCACATCCTTGCCTTGTGTGGGGTGAGCGGGAACTCCTGGAGAGCCCCCTCACAACAGCTAGCACACAAGCTGCATGCATGTGCCAAACCAGCTCCACTTCAGCAACAAGTGCTCCGTGGTGAGACAGGGACTACTCTGGAAAAATAGGAATCACAGCACTAGAAGAAACTTAAAGACACTGTTTATCTTCTTCAATATAGGAATAAGGAAAAAAATCCAATGTTTGCCTCCTGAAAGAAGGTGACCTGTGTTATGTTCCACTGGGAGGGAGGTTCTTAGATTTACAGCAGCATCTTGTATCAAAATCACCTACTTCACCAACACTTAAGAATAGTACCAGTTCATAATAATATTTTCGCTTAATCTCTTCAAACTCCTTGAAAAATATGTTTAAACTCCCCAGAGTTCCCTTTAAATCCGTAATAGTTTCCCTAAAGAAAAATTAAGTAGGAAAATGCTACACAGGCAATATTAAAATATCTACCTTTCCCACAGAGGATGAGAGCCCCCTTCCGCTGTCCCTTGAGCTGGATCGTGAGCCAGTTTTACCCTCACTCATCTCCTTCTCACACCTGGCTATCTTCTTTTTCAGTTTCTCTCTTCTTTGCTGGTCTGCAACTTAGGAAAGAGACAAATAAAGTTTGTCAGATGATTTTTTTTTTCATAAACAATTTTAAAATGTCATAGGGGGTTTCCTGACACTCAGCAAAGTCCCACCATTGTGCTATGTTCCACTTCATTCAGCAATTATGAAAAATTATTTAATTTTAAATAAAAATAAGTATAGATAAAATCGTAGTAGTGACAGGTAAAATAACAGGTAAAAATAAGACCATGCTGATAGCTGAAGCTAGACAATATTTTACAGCTACTACAATTCTATCAATCTACAATCGGTATTGTTGTATTCTACAATCAGTATTGTTTACAGAGCACTCTGCACTATACGTTTGCACTCATCCTGTACCCTCATCCAACCATTCAGCACAAAACAAACGGTGACATATCAATAAATCTCTTGCATACAAAATTCATGCTCAAACCATGGAAGAATAGATGGTGCTTCCCCAAGTACAGAAATGCACTGCAAAACCATATGTTCATGCCACAGACATAAACAAGGAGAGCAGACACTGCACAAGGGCCACTGCCAGATCAGGAGAGGAAAAAGGCTTATTGGTTTCTACTGATAAGATTCAGATCCAAGATCATGTTCATAAGATCTGTAACACAGAGGAGGAGTTGGGTGACTGCGCTGTCAGGTATCCCAGAGAAGAGCCCTGAAGAAAGACAAGGTAAATTTTCTGAGTTTGCTGTTAATCACCTACATCTATTACAAAATTTCAGTATATTGTGAGTACACTGGTGCCACCAACGGTAAAATCTGCAATGCTCAATAATCCATCAGAAACATTAATAATTTAATTTCCAGAATACGTAATAGAGCATATGTTGAAGTCTGCATGGACAATGAAACCTCTTTTACCCTTGGGAAGATTTCCCACTCATTTACATAGAGCCAAGCTCATGTGCTACTGGGCAGTTTTGTTTGATCTAGACATAGGAGTTCATCTCCTCCAGACACACAGACAGAAAGGCCTCACTGATCTCTCCAAGGTTATGCATAATGTATTCAGATTGCACTCTGGTAGACTTCTCTCTACCAGAGTGCAGTAATCTTCACATACATTACTGCAATTAATGCATAGAAATGTAAATAACTGTGGATTGGTGTGGTACATTTCTCTAGACAGCTGGGAACCCCAGCAATCTGAGGCTCAAGGGAATTTTACATAAACCTTTAAAATTCACTTCTCTGTGTACATTAATCCTACAGATATGTTAATCTCTGTGAATTATTTAAACCTGTGTGTTCATTTTATAAAATATTTTATACTCTTTTTAAATGAGAAATGATTCTTTCAGATGCAAAATCCTTCCTCTCATTCCTCAGGGAAATCCCTTTCTCTTTCCTTCAGTTCTTACAATTGACATGTAAAATATGAAGTAATTGCTTTTCAGCTGCTGATTTTTTCAGCACACTCCATTAGAGTACTTACAATATAAAGTTGCTTTTATTACTGAAAGTCATTACCTAAAGCTAAGATAAGCTAAATATTACAAATCTGAACTAAGTATATGCCTTGAAGGAAACAAATATACTGTACCATTAAATTAATTAAAACTTGGTATTTGTCTTGCTAATAATCATTATTATGAAGCCTTTCTAAATTACTATTATTTCTATTTCCATTTGTCTTCAAAGTTACAACACACTCAGAATTAGCTAAAGGTCAGAAGTTTCATATGTTTGAAATAAATAATTACTTAGACTCACCCAGCAGAATGTTTGCATATCTGTTAAAACAGCCTGTCCTACCGTTTGGGTAAATGGCTGAAATGAGTGTTGAATTAATATCTAGGGAGACAGAGTGAATGAATGACAAAGCTCTACCATGCAGGTTATAGGGACGCAAGAACATCCCATTTGGTAACCGTGAGTGGATGCCCGAAACAAGTTTCCCCACACTCCAGTGGAAAGTGGATTGGTCCGAGATGACAAAAGCTGGACCGTGTTGCTGCCCGTTCTGCCTGCACAACGTGGCTTAAGGGGGTCCTGAGCAGCTGTGAGGCACGTGAGCATCAACGCAAAACTAAGTTCTGCTGCTGTCTCAACTCTGCTCTGTGCTTTTCAGCACTTCACAGGGGGCTTTTCCCCCCACATCTTAGTGACAGAGGATTAAGACTGAGACTTAACAGACCCGCGCAGACCCTGTCTTTCCTAGTGGGGTTCAGAGCTGTAAAAGCTAATCCCTAAGGACCTGCAGGCCTGCTTGTTAGCGTTATCATTCTCAGCCCTAGCCTGGCTCGTGCCTCTGTGCTGGGAGGAGGCTCAGGAAGCCAGGAGGTACCTTTGGCTGTTGGAACGACACACGGGCCGCAGTCACGTCCACGGGAAACATAAGGCCTCTGGCCCATGGGAAGCACATGCCGAGCTCGACTCAGCTAACCCAGGACCCGTTCCAAGGCCACAGTGTCATGTATGGTGACCACAGGGCACCGCAGGTATATGCAAAGCTCAGTGACACCATTTTCAGGCTAGATCTGCTATAAAAGCCAGAAATTGTAAAACCTGCAAGTCCAGATTCAAGGTAAAGTGACAACTAGCCCTGAGGCAGTCAGCAAGCAACACAGGCAAGGGCAAAAGCACATACCCTTTCCCCAGACAGGAACTGCAGAATCCAGACTTTTAGCTTAGCTTTAGCTTAGTTAGCTTTTAGCTAGACAGAAAGTGCTATCGTACAAATAGCCTTTGAGGCACCCAAGCCTTTAAGGTACAAGTACAACTACAGCTGCTAGGAGCTGGAGATACTCAGCATGGCTAAACAGAACCACATGTGCTGCAGCTGTGAGTACATTAAAGAATGAGACTGGCATTCGGGGATAAACCTGCAGTATTAAAAGGCAGAAAATGTATCTGTTAATTGAGTAATAAGGTTCCTCACTGTCCTACATGTCTTCTCCCTCAAAGCAGTCACAAGGACAGTGTCTTTGGTTTCCAGTGAGGTCAAATAAACTATATATTTGATACAATTAACATACTGTCATGAATGAGCACAAAATGAATGTCAAGTGAGTTCATTACATGGTACGTAATAATTTCACTGCAAACAGCTGTAATCATATTTTGCCTCCAGAAACCTATCGTATTTGTAAATCAAATATGGGAAAAAATTAATACAATGTATACATCTTGTTGCAGATACATGAAAAAAATCGATTTTATCATCTCTTCTAAAAAGAAAATACTTAGAAATATAAACATACATTTAATGAATCGAATTACATCTATCCATTGGTTGTAAATAGACACTTAACAGACACTTAATAGATACTTAATGTATCTCATTAACTGATATGTTGAAAATCACCACAAGGATTTATAGTAAAGAGATAATAGATTATAAACAAAGTACTGATTTTTGTATTCACATCAACTCACAGTCTGTAACTTATTCCACCCACTCCAGGAATCTGTTCTGCTAATTCTGTTGGCAATCAGGGGAAACAGAGGAAAAGCTAGGAATTTTAGAAGAGCTACCTATGAAATGCTGATCAATCCAATATAGAAAGAACACTTTTGCCAAAGCAAACACTTTTTTCACAAAGTTTAGAGCACACTTAGAAAGCAGACATCATACTTTTCTAATACATTTCTCTGTTAGAGTACTCCCTCTATAGGCTTCATTCTTTTCGACTAAGCCATTTTCAGACAAGTGCTTAGAATTATAAAATTAATGCCATAAAACCTGGAAGAAAGAAAAATAATCATACATATCACATCAGACTCCTAAGCAGCTCAAAGACCATGTGCACAAAGACAACATGATCTGAAATATCGTCCTTTGCTCTGTATTTCAAATCACTGAATGAAAGTTTATCATATTGTGCTACAGGTGGCAGAGTTAAACCTTCAAATTGTTTTTTACTTTTGGTGTAAATAAGTTATGCCAGACAACAAAATATTAATTAGATTAAAATTGAGTTTAGCTTACAGAAGAGCAAATCTCAAAAGAATTGTCCAAACCTGGCCATCTCTCTGGTGTGTTTTTACATTCAATAGAGATTCCTCCAGCCTTGTTTGTACCAAGCAGAATGTTACTCAGAAAAGCAGCGTTTATATCAGCACATCTATTTAAGAAACATGATACTACTTGGCCAAGCTACTAATAGCAGATTCCAGCCATTATTAATGGTTGGAAATGAAGCCTAAGAGCGAGACTGGAATCCTTAAGAGGAATTCCCAAAGAGGAGAGAAGCGCAGGATTATCCCGAATGTATCCACCTCTGAACCGCATGGAGACGTCACGTTCCGAGCTGCCTCCTGGGTTTGCAGAGAGAGGCTGAGTGGATGGGAACAGCGGGATCTGTCCAAGGGTGCCCATGGGGGACACCCCAAGGACAATTTATACAAACTAGACCAAGCTAATGCTGTGAGACAAAGGAGAAGACGTGCCATTTTATTCCAGTTCCATGGTAGGCTAGGAGTATCTTGTAGTAAGAGTGGAAAAAAGCACAATGACAAGAAGAAATGAACAAACAAATACTGGGCAGATGTTAAAGCTGGGTAAATTCAATTAGAAATGAGACACCGTATAAAAACTCCATGAAAAACGTATTTACTGATGTACTGAGCATGTTTCTTAAAATTAATTACCTCTCCTAAAAATGAAAAAAAAACTTGTAATAAGAAATCCAAATTACTTATAGTTAAAATTGCAGATTGTCAAAAATCTTTACACACTGAATTTTCCTGCTCTCTGGGGATTCAGACTTGATAAATATTCTTGAATAGTTTTCCAACGACCTATCTGCACTCTGAAAGTCTAAACATTAGAATTATCTGTTTCGTGTCAGAGGACTTATTTTAGTTGCTTTTAGTTTTCACTTTCAAAAGTGCATGTGTACAAACAAGTCCCAAGAGCAGAGTAGGAAAGGATGAAAAGCAGGGAGATTTGGGGAAAGACTCATGTGAAACAGCAACAACAGCAAAATACTTAAGCCTGAAAAAGATAGAGCTATCTTTTTCACAGCATAAAGAATGGACAGCAATAGTGCAAAATATGTTGGCGCTCACCAGGAAAATTCCAATTTAAATACAAATACAGAATTATACAGCATAACCATTTCTTCATTTTCCTACTTGAACCTAATCCCATTCCTCCCAAGAACTTTAAAAACAAAACAAAACAAAACAAATTTATTGACTACTCTGAATCCTTTTCTCCTATGTTCCCATTCAAGTTTCATCAGTGCTAAAATAGGTTTGTAGCGGGTATCTTCTCAGTGTCCTTTTTTTTTTTTTTCCCTTTGGTATCAGAGACCTGCATTCCCAAGCACACTAATCACCAGGCTCAGCCTGTACTATCAATATGCTCCATGGAAAAACTGCTAAACATACGGGTTGAAAAGTTAGCACTGTTAGAAATGAGGCCTGTGTCGGAGCAGCTGTCTTACTTGGCATGGCTTTTGTCGAGTTCTTTGGCACTAACTCCACAACTACAGGCTTCTAATGGCCCCCAGTATCAATCAACATGCTTGGACTAATTCTGAACATAGAAGTTTCGCATTTCAAGAAGTTTCACATTTTAACAACTATTTTCAGTCAGTAGAGCTGATCTAATACACCAGAACATGTTCGCTGATAGCCCAGCAGCACATGGCAGCTCGCCTGCTTTTACTGACATCTAAGAGAACGGGAGAAGAACAGTGGAAACTAAATGCACTTTAAGGACAGACCGCGTTCAGTAGTCCAGGGAGAAGGCCAACTACAGGATCGGGTTCAATTCTTAAACACTAATGACTGATTCATGGCAACAACTCAAGGGGAAAAACTCACCTGCTATTTTAGCAGTACACAAGCACATTTTCAGGGGAAATTATTCAACACTGTCTGCAGGAATTCCCATTTTGAAACTCTATGCTGTTGATAAATCTTAGCATTTGAAACTGAAAATGTATCCACCCTTCCTAAATCTGGTTTTCTTTCTTCCTTTCTTCCTTCCTTTCTTCCTTCCTTCCTTTCTTTCTTTCTTTCTAGCTTACAGCTTTATTCGCCCAGTAATTCTGTGCCTGTCATTGCCTCAATGGAAACATGTTATTATTTTGTCTTTCTATTCCTTGTCTTACTGTATTCTGTTAGGGTTTCCTTCTCCTCTCTCTGAAGAAGGAAGGGAGGAAGGGAGGAAGGGAGGAAGGGAGGAAAAGAATGACAGGCACAGAATTACTGGGCGAATAAAGCTGTAACCTCCCAATGCAGCACTGAGTGGATCTCAGCCACATGTGGCCATTCCCCTGGCATTCAGTCATACGGATGTTGCATCTGTTTCTGGATAAATTACACACCCTAACCCTTGCAAGAAAAAAGCAAGCAATTGGTTTGAAAACACTCTAAAAATCTTTTTTCCTGCTTTTTTTTTTTTCAGTATATTTTGAATACTCTCACTGACTGAGCTATTTGCTGTCATCTCTATATAGTCTTTCACAAGAGACAGAGAAAGAAATATTATACAGTTGATCACACACTACAAATGATACCTAGCACTGAGTTTTACATCTGAGCATTTATATTTGACAGAATTGTTATCACACCACTGAAACCTATAGTTACATAGTTATGAAGAATTAGAGATACAAAGAAAAAACACCCACCAGTGTTTCAGATAAGAAATCAGTTCAAGTAATTTTCAAATTCTTTCTAAACACCTGCAATTTATGAGATTTATGCAGATACAATACAAGGGGTTAGTTAGTACTATAAAGAGATCTTGCATGACAAAATATATCAAGAAAGCAGATCAGAAAAAAATATATGCAAACCTTCAGTAAGAACAATTATTAATATTCAAATACTTTTTTTATTATTAAGAAAGGATAATCTAAAGTAAATGCTAAAAAGGCATACAGCAAAATCCTGGGCCTACTGCAATTTGGAACTTCTGCTATTAATCTTCCTGGACCCACAATGTCAGCTATGGTATCTAAAAAACTTATCCTCCACAGTCCAAAATTTGACTTTTAAAACTGTATTACCAGAATACAAACTTGCGGGTAAATTCGCTCCTAATCCTGGCAGCGTTCAGATTGGACATCAGAAAAAATCTTTTTGCTAGACAGATGCTGTGGCTCTGCAACAGGTCTCTCAGGCTGCAGAATCTCCATCCCTGGAGTTTTTCAAGTCTTGGGTGACCTGATTTAGTGTTGGCAAGTGTTCTATATTCAACAAGGGGCACTAGGAAGAGTTAATGAGCTCAAAAGATCCCTTCCAACCAATATTTCCCTGTTTCCATGGAAGAAGGGCAGAGATTGAGCTTCTGAAATGTTAGGACAAATGACGGTGAGTACGGACCGAGTTGTTTAAGAGCAATTGGTAGATAAGAACCACTATCTGGTAGAAAGTTCTTCTTCTGAAATGTTAATAGAGGCAGTAAGCAAACTGTAACTTTTAGCCTTGTGTCTGGCAAGTGCAAAGAGTCTTAAACTCCAGTGAAACCAGAGATACTCTCTCCCTCTCTCAGAAAAAAAAGGGGGGGAATCTGTTCATTGCTTTTATTAAACAGATTTTAAAAAATGGCAACTTGTCAACTTATAATTGTGTAATTTTTCTCAGTGAGAAATATCAAACATACCACATATTAGAATTAAGCTAAAAGTACAGATAAAAAGATATATATACAGATATGTCTAATAACATCTCAATCTCCCAAGGCTGAATAGTCAATATAACTCCAACATTTGTTAAAATTAATTCTGCGTTTCTAACTAGGATCCCAGTCCTTGAGCTACGTTGCTCAGCTTCACTTTATGATCCGAGTCCTACTTTGTGAATATGATAAAATTCAGCACACTATTATAACTTCCAAATCTTAGGCTCGAATAGCAACAAATACTTTACAGTATTGAGGGTTCTTTTTTTTTTTTTTTTTTTTTTTTTATTTTCTTTTTTTTTTTTTTTTTTTTTTTTAATCAAATGTTTCATTTTTTTCTTGCAGCTTTAAGTTATTTCTATTGCAAACTGCTTTCTTCCAGGGCCGGGTTGGTTATATGCATATTCTAATAAAATAAAACACAGCATGAGCTTTTTCCATTCCAGTTTGGAAATAGGTGAAAGAGCAATTCCGCGAGGATTTACCGTACCAATTTTATCAAACAGATGGGCAAAAACAAAAGCCGTAACAAAGGTGAAATGTTTCCATCAGTGCCCTGTATAGGAGATTAATGTTCCCTCTGTGACCAGAGCAGAGTTCCATAGTCAGACACTGCTTTGAAGAAGATGAATTGAGAGAAACACGCATTGAACTCAGGCTTGCTGCCTGCAATGGAAATTTCCTTGCGACAGAGCCCACCTGCCAGTGTCATGACAATTATCTGCTAAGGTGAAGGCACTGTTGCTGCCTCCCCAAACGAGCCTGTTATTCAGAGAAGCTCATTTTGGGGGAAAACACACCAGCTTTGAGCTCAGGAGCGTTTTATCAGGGAAGACAGCAGACTGTAGGACAAATGGGCATTTGCTTGGGTTGAGAAAGACCAAGATGTGAGAAGGCACGCAAGAGGAACTTTCAAGCAGGGAATCTAGGGAAGTCTATCAGATGCAAAAAGAAAAACTATAAGAGGTTTATTTTTTTAACTAGGCAAACTTTTAGGTGTAAATTTCCTCCATGTACCAAGCCCATGTTTCCCTGCTTGTTTCAAGGAAAGCTTCGGTAGAACCGGGGCACGGAAAGGAAGAACTTATCAAATGCCCCTGCGGAGCAGGTGGGCTGCTGCTCCTACTGCAGCCCCACGTCCCTGCAGTCCCACTCCAGCGCATCCTTGCAGCCCCGCTCCAGCCCATGCTGTGCCCTTTGAAGCACGGGAGGCACCCAGAGAGGCACCTTTGGTGACCTGGGTGCTGCTTGCTGCCCTATTCACTCTCAAGCCATTGTCTGGAAATACCGAAAAAAAAGAAATGAAACCAAGACATTCTGCTAAAAGGATGAGTGATTCCCTGCAACAGCTCTAGTTATTCTTGTCATTCTTCAAGGCAGTATCACTCTGGCTTGCTCAGCTTTGAGACTAACCTAAAAGTATATTGTAAAAAAAAAAAAAAAAAAAAAAAAAAAAAAAAAAAAAAAAAAAAAAAAAAAAGAAGTATTTTCTCATCCTATTTTTTTTTTTAGAATCTCATTACTTGTAAGTAATTATAAATACAGAAAGGGATTCAGAGAAAAGATGTCTGATAACAGAGATATTTTTGTTATTTTAATAAACAGCTGCTCAGCTGCTATTTATCTGCATTGACTAATATACTTCATTTAGTATTCTGTTAGTCTCCGATTTGTAACTATTGCTTTTCAGCTAACACCATAAAGAAGGCTACAGTACTGACACTTTTACACAATAGTAAGTGATGAGGAAACTCTCAGAAACAGCAACTGCAGTTTAATCCAGGCTGTGTAGCTGTGTGCTTGTAATTAGCTATGTTTTCTGTGAAATGAAACAAAAAGTTCAGCCCAGGCCCCCAGGTGCCAAGTTCTCACAATTTCCCTTGTCCTTACACTATCAAACTCTCTTCTTGAAAGTTCAGTTGCACAACATGTCATAAGAAAGGACAGAGAAAATGCTGAAATTATCTTTTTCTGTTCCATTAAATAAATGAATGAAAAGGATCGTAAGTAAAGTCAACTGCAAACCTAAGCACAATTAATCACTGACTAGGAACATGTCTTAGACTCACTGAGATTCTTTCAAGTAGGTGTAGCAGGATTAAAAAAAAAGCTGAAGAAACCAGCAGATGTACATATGCCTGACTAAGAATCATATTCTGCTGTTGGTCTTCTATTTCTCTTGCTTTTTTTTTTAGCTAATTTTACAGAAGCTTTTTCAGAATTGACATATCACTAGTACTTACATTTGATGCTAGTCAACCTACTTCTGGGCACGGAACAATCTACAGCTGCTGAAAATATGGAAAAGAATAAATGTGAGTGATGTATTTTAGAACATTTGTGATGGTTGGAATAAAATAACATTGAACAAAGATTAATTTAATTAGAACTCATTCAATATTTTAAAATATGTTCTGCACAATGCAGTTAAATATTAGATCCTCATACAGTCAGATAATTTCAGAGATACAGACAGACATTAAGGAAAATATAGTAATAAATATTTGAAGGAATAATTACTACTTAAATTAATTCCCTTCTTAATTAATACTAATTGCTACTTAAATTAAATTCCCTATACAAAATCCTATCCATTTTTGTCTTAAGAAATAGAATTTGACCGCTGAATGGATTTGGGTGCATACCTAAAGATACTGAGGATATTATCTGTCCAAAGCAAAGACTTTGGCAGAATCAAAAGCCCCAGTGCCCCCGCTTCTAAAGTAACTTTTAGGAAAGGAAAGTGTGATGTAGAGAATCAGCACAAATCTCCAAAACCCCTTCTCCAACTAGAAATGGACCATCAATGTCATAGGAGGCCTTAAAAATCCATTTATTTCAAATCCTGCAAACTTAATCTAAACGCTTGTGACATCCTGTGAAGCCCTGGCATTAGTATTTCTAGGATTGCAGCCTCCAAGAGCAGTTTATGCCATGAAGAAAAAAATTAGGCTGTAAATTGTTGAATAAACAACACTAAAAAATTGTCTATGAACTCAGTATAGTGCATGATATTAACTTTCTAAACATGGTACTTAAGGCAGCATATATACCCTTAAAAATTAATTTGGACTACACTACAGTTTGCTTTCAGTTCTAGCACTGACAATGGGGCACTCTAAGTCCAGAGAGGAATAACCACAGATTTTTAAATCTGAATAAATTTGGGGCACGGTTTTGCCATAAGTAGGGAATATACAATGTTTTCTATTACATTTGTTATTTTACAAAGGGATTAAAACTACAAACAAAATTGTTTTTTCTATGTGCAGATAGTAGTGGGGTATTTTAAGCCACACCTACATAAAAATATTCTAAATTGGACTATTTGATATTCTGCAGACCCACATTCAGACTTTATTTGCTTTTGTATGCACAAAGAAACATTGCTATGTAGCCAGCACTGTCGATTTCCTCAAATCGTACTTGTTTTAGGTCACCGTGGTGTGTGTTTAACTATATCTATCTAGCTATCTATATATATATCTAATGCAAAAATACAGACCTTTAATGACCACAGAATTCACAAGTGGGGCTTAATGTTATAGCTATATTTAACTGGGAATACTGGAATCTCACAGTAGCTGAAAAGAACAAGTTTGAAACTTCTTTTTATGTCATTCTATAGTTACTTGGAAGCTTATTAGGTCAAGGAATGGTGAAATAACGCCTCCCTCCATGTAATTACCCTACATTTTTAACTAAACTCACATATTAGAAATTCCTTATTAATGGTGCCCATGCCAAACCTGCAGTACTGATTCTCCCACCAAATAAATAAATCTTGAAATACTGTGTGCAAACTGGGGGCCTTCATTGATTTTAATACACATCCTCTTAAGACAAATAAAGATTTTTTTGTTTTTCATTTACAAACACAGGGCAACTTTCAAAGTCTCTAATGCTCGTTAATGCCACCCATTGCAATTTGAACCACTGATCATGATCACCTTTGAGATGAAAACAAAACACTAGTCTGACTTGAACTAAAAATATTCTGCATTTATTCCTAAAATAAATTCTGTATGCTTGCTATCACAGCCATCTCCAACATTCTCACCTCAGCATATTATTTCATAGTAGTACTACAGCAGAATGATGAGAATGCAGCTTAGAGTACCTGGAAATTAAAGCAGTAATGCTGGCAGCACTTGGAGAATTTATATAAGATTTCCAAACCCCAGAATAGAAAAGATTAAGTAGCAGCTCTATCTCCTTGCTGATACCAGTCTGTGTACCAAACAGAAAAACAAATAAAAACAAACCTTCTACAACCCAATTCACTCTTTTTTCATATTAGTCTATTCCCAAAGAATAATAGAAGGTTCGTAGATTTGCATTATTACCTTTGGCTGAAAGGATTTTGTTATAATGAAACATTAGGTGATCTCTGATCAGGTACTGATTAGTCAGACTCTGTGAGGAATCAATGCAGAAAGCTACAAAATTAAAACATATTTGAACATTACAAAGACAGGAACAGGAATATCAAAATTTTAAGCAGTTGTTATCAGGCAATTCAAACTCAAAGTCAGTATTTCCAACAGCAGCTGGACAGTTTTCTTTCTCAGTTAGTATTACATGATAAGGAGCTGTTGAAGCTGGACTATGTAAAAATCAGTATGGAAATTTCCTGTTACTCCATTCTACATTACTCTGAAAAATGGGTCAAGGTGACATTATGGCATATAAACATATACTAGCCCCTTTCAACTGTGAAATTATATGTTTAATTAGAAGGCTTTTTTAAACATCGGTAATTTCATCAGTAACTTTAAACATCAGTAACTCTTGGTAACTTGAGAGATTGTGTGTGTGTGTGTGTGTACAGATATATATATATATATACACACACACATATACACACATAAGAGCTTTCTGTTTACTATTGGGCTACACACACACATATATATGTATATATATACACACATACACACACACATATATATATGTATACATATATATGTATATACATACACACATGTATGTGTGTGTGTGTGTGTGTGTGTGTGTATAGCCCAATAGTAAACACAGAAAGCTCAGGTATTTGTGGGTATATGTGTGTGTGTGTGTATCTTGTTATTTCTAAATAGCCAAACAGTTAAGACAGAAAATGCATTCCTCAGAAGTCATTTCAGCAAAGCATACAAAATGCATATAATAAATGTCATCAGTTGAGATAAATGCAAAGATTATTATTATGCAAATATTTTTATTCATAAAAATGAATAAATTCACTGAAAATCAAGCAAGTCAACCTTCTTATGAAAATATACATATTACTTACCATTACTTTTGGTACTTAAGTGTCCTTTAAATGGACTTGCTGGGCCACATCTGGGAATGACAACAGCTGGGTGATCACTTGCTTTAACAAAACATGAGAGAGTTAGAAAGCAGAAAGTACATTTTGGCAGACAAGGTAAAGCAAAGAATAGCGAACCATTGTAAAGGACCTTTTCAGCAGAAAACTGAACATATTTAAATGCTATACCACTACTAAAATATAACACTGCAGTTACATAACTTCATCTGAATGCCAAATTATGACTGCAGTTTGCTCATTGGTTCACACACACAGAATCACAGAGTGGCTGAGGTCGGAAGGGACTTCTAGAGATCATCTAGTCCAACCCTTCTCCTCAAGTTCATGGAATTAAACATCAGAACAGATCACTTCAGCTTGAATTTTATATTGATCATTAAGCTGCTCACACAAAGAGCCTAAATGTTGCATCTAAAGCCTCACTCTTTTCAGGTTTTATTGATAGAATTTTATGATTTTGAAAACTGACTAATGAGAAAAATATTCTCAATAAAGGCAATGATTGTGTTAAGTATTATACTAAAATTTCAGGTTAGTATTTTGAAAAAAAAAAAATCTTTGTGTGAAAAAGCATCCTATCAATAAGAACAGTCTATTTCAAAAACCTATTACTATTAATATAAGAAGAATTTGGTTTGCTATTCAATAACTCTACAGACAAATGTAAGCAATGGCAAAACTTAAATATCTAGTTGTTCTGAGAAAAAAAGAAACACTAGAAATTAGTCTAATGATAATGTGTGCTCCTGCCACACAGGATAAAAAGCCCTGCCGTGGCCTCCTAGCTCCTGCATGCCCAGCACCTGCCTTCCCATGTTGCCTCCCTGTTGCACAGTGACCGACGCCGTTATTGTAGCTATGTATGGAATGGCTTACTTAGAACTTTAGCGTCTTTAGAAAATAAAATGAAAATAAGTAGCGTACCTGAAAGTTTTCAGAGCATTTTCTTGGGCACTCTGTTGCCAAATGACACTAAATGTGGATCAATAAACACCATTCCTATTCTTACAAAGCACAATAAATTATCAAGGTGATCTTGAATTAGAAGGAGGATTTCGCACTTAGAAAAGCCAGTCTTTATATAGCACGGGCTGGGGAGGCTTAACTACAGTGGAGCCAGCATGTGCAGTGACAAAGCTTCTGCCCTTTGCTGCAAGTGCTCTGCGCCAGGGGCAGGAAAGGGATAAGAAAAAAAAAATGAAGAAAAACAATATGCATTTTTTAATCTCATCCTACATGCTATATTTATTTTTATGCCATTTACTTTGTTCTTCAAAAAGCAACATTCCTACCCTAAGTACCAATGTGAAATAGCTCATTTTAAATCCCCCTACTGGTACAATTCTTCCTAATCCCTATTTGTGATATAAGCATACATAAGGATAAACAGTACTAAACTGATGAATAATAATAAAAATTTCAAACACACAATAAAAAAATCATTAAGTTTAAAAAAAATGGGTGATTGCAAACCTAGCAATATTAGCTTTTTTTTTTTTGTTTAAATATGTATTTATCTATTGCATTTGAGTGGCATTCATGATGTACCTAGCTATTCACACCAAGTTGGACTGCTCACCTGTTTGAAGAATCTAAGTCTTTGGGAAGACTCAAACTTGAAGTTATCAGCTTCTTAGTAACTAAAATAAAAAATTCTCCTAACAACAAAAAAACCTTTAGAAGCCAGAAATGTAAGAGATAGCAGGCATGTGAAAACCAGGTGGTTGCATTTAGCGTTGCCCGAGATCATCACAATTTCCCAGCATTTTCTGCATTTCTAATCTGAGTTATAATTCCAGAAGATGACACATGTGATACAAGTACATAAAGTTATACGACTATCTAGACCTGCAGCTGATTCTCTTCAGGAAAGCTAAATGTCTTTAGCTTAATTTAAAGATGAGCAAAGATGCTCAGAAATCTGTTGCTCTTAGTGTTTTCAGTTGGGACAGGCCTGTTCAGAACTGCTGAAAAATCAGGTTTCTTTGAAATGTTCATTTTCAGGTTATCACCAGCAGATGGCACATGGATAAACTGTATCAGACAAACAACTGTGTGTTATTCTTTCAGCTCTTTACTACAGATCAGATGCCAAAATAAAAGAAAAATCAACCCCCTCTCCTGCCCACATCCTGCAATAAATAAAAAATAAAAAATAAAAAATAAAAAATAAAAAAATAAAAAATAAAAAATAAAAAATAAAAAATAAAAAATAAAAAATAAAAAATAAAAAATAAAAAATAAAAAATAAAAAATAAAAAATAAAAAAGGTGTGTGGGGGTGGATTTCAAGATAATCAGGGAGAAATATTCTGCAGTCTCCTCTGAATATTTTGTTTATGGGCAGAGCAGAGATTGCTCACATGCCATGGAAAAAACCCCAATATGTGAAAATCTCAAGTTCAGCAAAAACTGATGTAACCACTTGTGCAAAGGCCCCTTGCACAGGGACGCAGCTCACAGGAGCCACGTCCGGGAGCCCGCTCCTCCCGCCTGCCCTGCCTGGTGCGTCCCTGAGGAAGGATTTCACACGCTTTCCAACCCGACCCAATCCCTGTTACCTGCAGGACACTTGGTCCTTTCACAGGAGTCTTTGAAACCCTCTAAAGCAGCAACTTGGCAATTACAACTGTGAGCTGCATTCCAGGAAATGGGACCCTTGAATAAATGTTTTCCTGAACATTCAGACTCTGAGAGGCCCTTGAACTGCCAGTGTCACTGCACCTGAACAGGATAAGACCTCACAGGTCATTAACAGATGATACTTTCTTGCAGTTTAGAACACTATGTTACCAGACAAAAGTTTATACTGAAGAATTTTATTTTATTTTCCGTTGAACTCTGGCTATTACTTCCTGGCAAGCTATACATACCATTATAGCTCCAATTAAAGAACAGCACAGTCTTCAGTTTAAAGTATTTCCACGAACAGCGCCTGTGAAGGAGGTCTCCTGTGATGCTCCCATGGCGCTTCCTCCTGCGCTACCGGCCTCTGATGCTAAATCATATGAATGAAATCAGACTGCAGCCTTCCCATCCAGGAGGCCCTTTGAGTGTCTCCCTCAGCTACTTGTTTCTTCAAAACATGGGGGAAATCTGTCATAGAAAAAGGCCCAAATATACTAATTTGGCTGAAATTTTGCTGAATACACTAATTTGGCTGAACATTATTGAAAAGTAGCAGAGAACACACAACAAGTAAACTTCTGATTTCTTAGGATCCTAGGCTGTTTTCATGTAGATGTTCCATCACATTTACTACTACACAAAATTCAACTTACTCTACCCTCCCTAAATCTGAATTCAACTTACACTACCCATCACTTTATCTGACAGTATAATTCTTTTTTATACTGTCACATATTTACAATGAAGATAGATGTTGCTGATGCCAGAGGAGAACCTGGAAGGTTTGGTATGTGGGTAATATGTTATGTATAAGTGCTTGTGCAAAATGTTTGAAATGAGATATAAAGTACTAACAGCTGAACGGTCATCTTTGTATTTGAGATTGGGTACCCCAGTCAAACAACAAGGGAGCTCAGCTGTTTCACAAGTGTAATCTCAGTTTGTCTGCTGATATTTGTTTCAGAATGTTTCAAATTGGTTTAACATTCTATTTTAATAGTTATTTGCACAGTAGCAAAAAGCTAGACTTCAACTGAAGAGTTAGATAATGCAAAGAGAATTTGAAAGGAAGAGGTGAGATTTTCAGCAAATTACAAAGTTACCAAATGTTTACCTGACAAAATGCCAATAACACAATGTTATGATTAAACCACCTGGATAGCTAAGGGAGTGAAGGCGTCAGTGCTGTGTTAGGGCTGCGAGCAGAGCAGCAGTTGCATGTACTTTGCCTACCTGATCTCTTATTTTCTTTTTCAAAACGCACTCATGCAAGTGATGTTTTTTTTCCTCAGTGAAGGCTGCCTACTGATTTTGATGAACTTGAGATAAGCTCTAAAAAAAATAAATCATTTTGAAGTAGGACCACTTGTCTGGACTTGGCAGAACTCGCCGGAGTACTAGAGCGCCTTCAGCAATAATAAAGTTTGCTGACTAAAATGTACATTGCCTACTTCATTCATAAAATAATCTGTTTTAAAATCCTGCAGTCACAAATTTAAGGTCTACATAAATATACCTCTTTAAGCCCACATCATTTAGTTTAGGAAATTATTTCCTGAAATATAAGCCTGAGAAACTGGAAAGTATAAGGGGTCCTTTGGTATCTTGGATAGGACATTTAACTGCAGCATCCAATCATACCTTTCATCACAGGGTAGGCAGTGCGGACCCTTCACACTAACTATATAACACCAGGCTTCTCAAGTTGCCTTTGCTTCTAGAGATCAAGCAAATTAAATAATATTTAAAATACTAATTGGAGCTTTTAGTTCCTTATTAAGACTTGTATTTTTTGCTTCTGTAGGCTTTCCCTGCGAGTGTGAAACGCTATACATTAACAAAGGCAAGAGTAAAAAAAAAGCTTCCTCAGTAATTCTCTCCAGATATAAGTAATAATTATATTGCTCCAAAGATATTCATAAAATATTTTGTCAAAATGATCTTTGCATTTTCCTTAAAAATGTATAAGATCTTTATTTCCTTTCTATTTGACAGTCTTAAAAAATCATGGAAATTAGTGGTTTGTATTTGTTATTTTGTTGCCTATTAGTAATAACTAGAATTTATGGAAATTAATTTTCCACAGGTCCTTCTTAATTTACAACACAAATTTGGACTAGAAACAAGCACAGTCTTTCATAACCATGTTCTCATAGTATAGACACTCAGATCCAGAACCAGAAGGCACAAAACCTCCAGTAACTGTGTAGGGAAGTGCAACCCCTGCACTTTCACATGAGCAGCTCCTAGATTTCAGACAGGATTCAAAGCGCCAGGTGGACATCATCTCCGCCCAGCTGTCCCAGAGGAAGGTGTTCAGCACTCGGCTAAAGTCACCAACCCTTATACACTGCTATAATACACCCTTATCTTACATATAGCCACTCACTCTAGTGCTTTGTGTCCTGGCACCAG